CTTCCACTTGCAATAAAAGTTGGAAATAAAATAACTAATGATTCTAATGAAATTGCGACTGAATTTAACAAATTTTTTTCCACTATAGGAACAAATTTATCAAACAAAATCCCTTTAATAAATTATGAATTAACAGATGAACTTCAAACGTCAAACTCCTTACATTTTACAAACCTAACGCTTGAGGAATTTGATACATCTTTTAGATCGTTAAAAAAAGAAAAAAATCAGTAGGTAAATCAACCTCAAACATTAATGAACATAACATATGGTGTCCCACAAGGATCCATACTTGGATCATTTCTTTTCATTATATGTATAAATGATCTTAACAAAGCATCCAATTTAAAGACTATAATTTTTGCAGATGACACAAACTTGTTTCAGTCACATGAAAATATAAACCTACTTTTTAATAATATGAACAGAGAACTTAAAAAAATTTCAATTTGGTTCAAAAAAAATAGGCTGTCTTTAAATATTGAAAAAACAAAATGAATACCTTTCCATCCAAACTATGAAAAACAGATACTGCCTGTAAATATGACTGATCTTTTTATAGACAATGTCATTCTAAAAAGAGAAAAAGTGACAAAATTTTTAGGAGTTTTTATTGAAGAAAATCTATCTTGGAAGTCACATATCAATAATATTTCTAATAAAGTTGCAAAAAACATTGGAATTCTATACAAATCTAAAGGTATTTTAAACAAAAAGCAATTAACACAATTATATTACTCTTTTAGTCACTGTCATATCAATTATGCAAATATTATGTGGGGAAGTACACATAAATCTAAGCTCGCATAATAAATTTTAAAAATCGTTTTTCGAACTCTGAACCGCTTTTTAAAGAAATGGACGTTTTAAATGCTTATCAACTAAATGTATTTAATGTTTTGTGTTTTATGTACAAATGTAAAGAACTTATGTCCCCCGATGTATTTGTAAACCTTTACAAAATTAAACCCCAAAACAAATATAACCTACGTAATAATAGCTTTTTAAAAAAACCTTTTTGCAATAATAAACAAGCTCAATTTTGTATATCTTATCGTGGACCTTTTCTCTAGAATGAAATAGTACGGCCTTATTTTATTTTTTTTTTATCTAAATTGACTTATTCCTTTTACAAACAATCTATTAAAAAAACCATTATTTCAACAAAAAATATTTTTGATTTTTTTGATGGTGGTAGCAGGGTAAAAACTTTTTTTTTTTAAAAGTCAAAATAATTCAATATGCTTTATTGTAATGAAAAAAGACTATTTAAAAAAAACAATTAACACTATTTGCATAAAAATTTAATAATGACGTTATCAATTGTACTTGTCATGAACAGATTTTTGTCTTAATTTTATATGTTTCTTCACTTAATGAAAAATGATCAGAATCACTTTTAATTTTATAATTGCAATCTTTATTAATGATATTATGTTCTGAGCAAAACAGAAAATAAATTTTTTTTTAAACGCGCCAGGTTCACTGTCAAACTTCAAATTTCAAAAAAAGTAAAATATGTTTATGTAAAAATAGCACTGCTAGCTATGTTTGTAAAAAAATTTAAAAAGTGCTTTGCTCAGAACACTCTAAATAGAACAATGTAACACCAAAAAAAATTCAGCTTAGTAGCTTTATCCAATCAAAAGTTATCTTTGTTAAAAGACCACAAAAATGTGGAAAATTGAAAGCAAGAAAAACCTTAAAGAAAAAAGTAAATAAATTTGAATGAAACAATAAAACTCAAAAACCAAATTAAAATGCTCCACTAGCATATGTCTCTCCTTCCTTAAGTTCATTTTTATCATTATGACTTTTTCTAATTGAAAGGAGTTTCTTTCTTCTTTGTTTTACTGAGCTGGTTGACTTTTTCTCAGATTGTTCGACGCGACAAATATCAGATAATCTAAAACCTTCTTAAGTGAAATACCCATTGTCTATGCCCAGTTTATTAAAAACTGGAAGCAGTCCTTGGGCACCGCCATAGTATGCAATAACAGCAGATGCAACTGCAGTTTTAAAAACATTATTTCCTATATTTGGGCACCGTGTCCATAATAAATTGTTCAAAGACTCATTGACATTCTGGGTCTCACCGTGTGAGAAGAAGTTCATCACTACCAAGACCTCTGTGAGAAAATATTGGAGCAATAACATAAGAAACAGCTTTATGAATATTAACTTTTTCTTTATATATTTTTGCTCCTGTGATTTTGTCACTTTGGTATCTGCACCAAGAATCAGAGCTACGTGGACAGAACTTATGTCGGTTTTCTAAATTTGGCTAATCTGTTGCGTGGTAAAAACCGCAGCAACAGCCTTTTTCATCCCATACAGGTTGCCACTATTTTGTCGTATGGTCATTCCAGCATGGTTTTGAAGAGTGTTTATGACTTTATTAGTTAGCCGACCTTTCCCTCCCCCAATGCTTTTACCAGTCAACTTTTTTCCTTGTAATCGGCTTTAAATTTACGCAGTCGTGTTCCAACACGTTTTTTGACATGTCCTATACATTTTCCTTTGGTAATGCTATGACCTGGATATGGATCTGATTTACATATTTCTTCAAAGGATTTTGTATCACCATCTCCAATAAAAAATGCGTATCTTAGACAATGAAGACGTACAGAACGTGCAAACATTCTTTTCATTCCTACAACTTCCATAGCTCCAGCACTGCCAATGTGATTTATTGAACATACATGATTTTCTTTCCAGTTATTACATCTACATTCACTTTTTTTAGTTCCCTCATTTCACATTGTTTACATTTTTTAGATAATACTTCAGTGTCGATGCATTTTCCCTCCAAAATTAGTGTAACTACACTATTCAAGGAAGAGTATCCTCTTTTTTGCCAAGCACCGTCACCAATAACTTTAGCATCAATAACAACAGAATCATCTACAGTTTTATTAAAATGTATTTGCTTGGAAGCTTCTTTTTATTGACTCTTGCACTGTTTGTACGTAGGCATTATGTAACTCGCTATTAATTTCATTATATGTTGTTTTGGCCATTGGTGATGGCATATTCATGCAAGAACAAAATGTTTTTATTGCACTAAAACTTTGACCGATCTTTCTAAATGCAGCAATTGTTTGTATATTAATTTCAAAACTTTTTTTTCTTGAAGTAGACTTTAATTTACTGCACTCTTTTGAAGAACAAAATGTTATTTTCTAATTACGTTTGGTGCATGAAATTTTAAAAAACTGGGCAATTTTAGACCCATTTTATTTGATAAAATATGTTAAATGTCTATTGCTGTAAGTACGTGTAAATATCTGTTTACGGAACCGAATTTTGTGCTAAAAAACTGTGCCACGCTTTTTAAACTTTTTTTTAACTAGCGTTGGGAAGACGTGTTTAGTTAGAAAACTTTTTAGAATTTGATTTCAATATAGATTATTTTTAGAAACTAGAATAGTTAAACTTTATTACTGTGAGCTTTATTATTTTACTGGATGGCTTTTTTATTGAGTTTTTTGATGTCTAAAACTTTAATGTACTTTAGGTATGAAATTAATGTCGAAGATATGTTCATTTTTTTTTCTATACTATTCTTTTTTTTAAGTTTTTCATTTATCTATGCACCTGGAAAATTTTAGTTGTAGCAGGGTGTCTACTTTTTGTCGCACTTTTGGTACCTAATTTTCATTTTGCTGAAGTAGTCGCGGGAGACAGAGGGGTTAAATAAACATTGTTTATATTAAATAAAATTTTCTGTTTTTTTTTACACTAAATAAAATGGAAAGTAAAGATATTGATATAGGTTTACAATATTGTTTCCTATTTATTATAACTTTAAAAAAATTGTTTGCCTTCAATGTAAAGTTATTAAAATTAAATCACTTTATATTGAAGGCAAATAATTTAATTTAAATGAATTTTAATGTTTCCTTACTTTAAAGTTGAATTTTTTAAAAATGTAACAGACATATTAGTAATATTATAAATTATTTTACCTTACATTGTAAGTCTCTCTAATAACAATTGCAATATACTCCTACCTGTTGTATCATCATGATACAACAAGTAGTAGTATGTTGCAATTGTTATTGGAGAAAAAAGTCTAGTTTTTACTTCGACTTTTTTAGAAAAAGATGCATGATAATCATGCATCTTTTTCTATAAAAGTCTCGGTAAAAACTAGACTTTTTTTTAACGATTAACTGTTAATCTTTTAACTGTAACAAATAATATAAATAAAATATGGTCATATATAACTAATATACGTTAGCAACCTTATTCAACTTTTATGTATAATAAATGTAACGTAAATAATCAAGAACATTTATTATATTGTTTTAGCTGCCCACAGCAGTCCTACGGCAGCAGCCAACAATATCAGTTAGTTATTTTAAACATTATTTTTTTTTTTGCGATTTATTATTTTAGTATTTAGTCTTTTGCTTTCAATATTCAATTATATATCTTTATTATGCTATGTGTTTTGTGCCGATTTTTGTGCATCCACAAAGTTTTTTCACAGTTGTTTATTTTGTATATTCCTGATTATTTCTTGCTTTTTATTGAGTCATTGTTATTTTTTTCTCTATAGACAATTTAAAACAAACTATTCGTAAGTAAAGTTTGAACTATTTTAGTTATTTGAATATTTAGTCATTTGAACTTTTTTTTTTATAATAATAGTCTGATAATTTAATTTTATTATAAAGTTAGTTTATTTAAATTGACTTTTAGGTGAGTTCAGACAGCAGTTTTGTAAGTTTAGTAAATTTTAACAATTTCATTAGTATAGTTAAATGATTCATTCTAAGATTATTATTTAATTGATACACGTTAAAGGTGTTTACTCTATTGACACACGCTAACTAAAGATGTAACAAAACGTGTAAATTGAAATTAAGCTTGTTTTAGTAAACTATTGTTATATTACTATTGTTACTACTTATTCCTTTTTAATTCTTTAGCAACGCTTACTTCATTAATTGGTAAGAGATTAAGGTGTACTTTTATGTGCATGTATTGAGAAATATAGTTTGATTTTGTGTATTATGCAGAATTGTACTATTTAATATGTACTATGTTAATGTATATTTAATATGTACTATGTATGTATATTTAACATGTAACATTTACATGTACCATTTAATCTTTTGTGTCATTGTCTTATCCTTATCATCTGTTGCAGCTGGTAAGGTTTCTATATTATGTTATTTCAAAATTATTTATATGGCAAAGTATTTGCAAGAGTTAGATTTTTGTTCATTAAACTTTTTTTTTGCCGAAGTGTCATCTATAGCTGCTCAATCTGGTAAGGTTTTTTTATTTTAACTGTTTAATATATTTTTAATATTTAAATTTTAAAAACAACTTCAAGACTGACTGGTATGTGTACTATATGCTTCTATATTTTAAAGTTATTCAAAGATTGTATTTTTTTTACTTTGTAACATGATTTAATAAAAAAAAATCATGCAATATATTTATACTGATCCAACTAGTAAGTTTATTTATTATAACTTTGTAATAAGACTTTCATAGCAAGATAATTATGAAAATAATAATTTATTATGCCTTTTTTTTTTTCTTTTTTTTTTTTTTAGTACCATTATAATTTGTTTTAGCTGGTAAGGATAAATATATTACAATTTTGCAGCATTATTTTAAACACAAAATAATTTAAAGATTTTTGCTTGTATTATGTTTTCAATTTTTTAGTTCCACCTTCCACTGATCTAACTGGTAAGGTTGTATATTTTTGCTTTGCATTATGATTTGCAATACGATTGTGTAAAATGCTTTTTCATTTCTTTTTTAGTGCTATCATCATCTGCTTCAACTGGTTAGTATATATGTTTTAACTCTGCAGTATAAGTTTAAATACAATTTGTTTTTAAGATTTTGTAAAAAGCTTTTTTATTTTATTTTTAGTGCCATCATCATCTACTCCAACTGGTTAGTATATATGTTTCAACTCTGCAACATGACTTTAAATACAATTGTTTTTAAGATTGTGTAAAATGCTTTTTTATTTCTTTTTTAGTGGCATCATCATCTGCTCCAACTGGTTAGTATATATGTTTCAACTCTGCAATATGATTTTAAATAAAATTTATTTTTAAGATTGTGTTAAATGTTTCTTGATTTTTTTTTTAGTGCCATTATCTACTCCAACTGGTTAGTACATATGTTTCAACTCTGCAATATGATTTTAAATAAAAATTATTTTTAAGATTGTGTATAATGCTTTTTTATTTCTTTTTTAGTGCCATCTTCATGTGCTCCAACTGGTTAGTATATATGTTTCAAATCTGCAATATGAGTTTAAATAAAATTGATTTTTAAGATTGTGTATAATGCTTTTGACCAAGTTAGATATATTTTTTACTTCTTTGTTGTTGTACTTGCAATACCCAATCGGATATTTTATAGTTATTTTTTTTTTCGATATTAGGGTGTGTTAAAACATCATCAACATATTTATCATTAGTTTTATGTTTACCATCAATGTTTTGTAGTTGTCCGGTATTAATTTAAAGAACCTTTTTTATACAGAAAAAAACTTTGTTTTAAGACTTTATGAAAACAGAATTTGCGTTATTTTAATTTTTTTTTTAATGGGGGGGTGGGGGGGGAGGAACCCTCCCACACATCAATGCCACTTGTGCATTTCAATTCCTGTAAAATATAGTTTTATTATGTATACTATTGATTTCAATGTTGTAAAGATAAAAGTTTTAATGAAAACAAGTTATATTTGATACTAGGGTGTATCAAACCATCACCACTGCACCCACCTCCATCGTTAACATACGCCTCTTATATCATCGGTGGTTTAATATAATTTTATAACAACTTTTTTTGTATATTTAAATTACTTATGTCTTTACCCTAATGAAACTGAGTTTCATTAGGGTAAGGTGGTGGTTTAGTTCCCCCTGTGTCCATCCGATACGCCCGGTGGTTAGAGTTTAACAAAAACTTGTAGCCCACTCTTACACCTATCTTTTGACACCAAGTAATATTTGTAATAATAATTTAAAATAAATACCCAAATAACCGAACTTTCCTTAACTTTCCTTAACTTTAAGCTTTCACAAACTTTCCTTATCTTTCAGCTCAAATTTATTGGGCTGAAAGATAAGGAAAAAATCCTTTTCTTTTTAAAAAATCCTTTTCTTTTTATTGATCGTAATTTTTTTATATCTTTTTTCAGAACCCATTACAAGTAATAAAATAGCTTTATTAATTAAAATATATATATATTTTTTAACTGAAGGATATAATAATCTATAACACAACCTTTATTTAGAAGCTTTGAGTTTAGAACGGTTTTTGAGGCTTCAGTGTATAGCTTATAAAGTGAATAAATAGAGATATTTAAACGAATAAAAAGAAGCCTTTTCGGTGAAAACTAGATGTTTTGATCAGGTTTTAATCCAGAATATTTCAAAAAAAGCGTTGCTAAGGCGGTTGCTATGGCCTAAGAACTTAAATACCTTTATCTAGAAGGGTAAATTTTGTATGAATGCATAAGTTTTTTTAAATCAAACCAAGTTTCCACAAAAAATAACACCCTAAAGATCTCAAAAATATAGTAAAAAATTTCAAAAAACCTTTTGAAATTTTTAACCCTTTTTCACCCTGCTACCACTTTAAAAAAAAAAAAAAAAATCTCAGTCGCTATACTGCATAATGATTAGTTATGTTTTATTTTGAGTTTCACTTCTGAAGTATGTAGTGTTAAATTTATGATATATTTAGTAATTAAGTATTGTATATAATATATAGTATTGTATATAATATATAGATGTTTTTATTGTAGAAAAAAATAGAATTGTGTTAAGGGCTTCGTGATAAGATCATTACGATCTTCTTGAAGTCCTGTCCGTATATTATTATAAATCTTGATGTAAATAATATTATACGGCAAATAAAATAAAGTATTTATATTATTAGAATTACTAGACGCAGTCTCTTTGTTATAGCCCAAAAAAAGTGTAGGTTTCGATTCTATAAGTAGTAATGTCGTTATTAAATCGATAAAATACAATTCCATTATTACATATTTTTAATTTATCTTTAAAACATGGTGTTTTTCCAGAAAATCTAAAAATTGCAAAAATCATTCCAATTTTAAAATCAGGCGATCCTTCTGAAGTTGCAAATTATTGTCCAATCTCAATTCTTAATTGTTTTTCTAAAATATTAGAGCGAGTTATGTATAATAGGCTTTATTCTTTTTTAAATGTAAATAATATTCTTTACCATAAACAATTTGGATTCAAATCTGGCCATTCCACCGATCAGGCAATCATTCACCTTGTTCAGGACATATTTAAATTGTTTGATGAAGGCAAGTATACCCTAGGTCTTTTTATCGATTTAAGTAAAGCTTTCGATACAGTCAATCATCAAATCCTTCTATCGAAACTCAAAAGTTATGGTATAAAAAATACTAACTTGTGCTGGTTCGAGAGTTATTTGACCAATAGGAAGCAGTATATAGTTTATGATGAAGGAAAAACTAATTATGAGACAATTAAATGTGGTGTTCCTCAAGGATCAATTTTAGGGCCACTTCTATTTCTTGTTTATATAAACGATTTAAATAAATTTTCTAACATTTTAAATACAATTTTATGTGCAGATGATACCAGCTTGTTTTATTCCAATAAAGATATCAATATATTATTCCAAACATTAAACAAAGAGCTTGACAAACTAACCCAATGGTTTAAATCAAACAAGTTATCTTTAAATATCACTTAAACAAAATACACTTTATTCCATCGCCTACATAAAAAATCAGATATTCCCTTAGAACTCCCAGACCTTTTTATTGACAATCAATTAATAAAGAGAGAGCAATCAATAAAGTTTTTAGGCGTGTTTCTAGACAAAAATGTAACCTGGAGGGAACACATAGGTGTAGTTGAAGATAAAATATCAAAAAATTTAGGTATAATGTACAAAGCAAAGCAGTTATTACATCGATCTTGTTTAAAAAACATTTACTTTTCGTTTATTCATTGCTACTTAAGTTATGCGAACATTGCTTGATGTAGCACTAACGCGACGAAAATAAAAAAATTGCTTAGCAAACAAAAACAGGCTATAAGGATAATTTCAAACGTAGATCGTTTTTCACACACACAAACACTTATTAATGAACTCAATATCCTAAATGTATATAAACTAAACCTCTATTAAGTTCTTATTTTCATGTTCAAACCTGATAAAAATATATTACCAATCTTATTTTATTCAATTTTTGAAAAAATAAATCACATATACCCTATAAGATTTTCAAAATACAACTACATTCAATCCAAAACTTATTATTCCGCTACTAAATTCTCTATTGTAAACCGAGGACCAAAGTTGTGGAACATAATATTAAATAATGAAATGAAAACTAATTATTCTCTAAACCAATTCAAAACAAAACTTAAGCATTTACTTTTGTTAACTGAAAATGAATTAAATTTTTTCTAATAAAACTTCTTTATATTAGAAATCAATAATTAATAGTTAATTAATTAATTAATTTAAATTATTAATACATAATTAATCAACAATTGTACATATATTTTTATCATTTTAAATGATAATCTTCTTTTTGAGAAATTTATTTTTTATTTTTGCGTTATTTATTAATCTTTTACTTTTATTTTATACTGTTTATTTGCTTTTACTTAATTGGCAATGAAAAGTATTATAAATATAGTTAAATAAGTTAAACTATAAAATGCTCTACCAATAAAATGTTTTTATTTAAAATCATAACTTCTTATTTTTCAAACCAAGTCTTAAATGTTATTTTTGTAATTTTTATATTTTATTAAATTTTGTTTCTTTTATTTTACAAAACAATTGTTAAATCTTATTCTTTGAAAAACTATAAATTTTAAACGATATGCGATATATTTAAATTTTCTTTTATAATATAAATCATAGATATATACATTGAAACTATATTTTATTGTTAAACTATATTTTGTCTAGTAATGACGCATTTTTTGGGGCTTAATGATAAGACTAAATTTGTCTTCTTCTAACCCCGGTCATGTAATTATTTTCTTTGTAAGTTACGACTGTAAATTTTTTTTATCGGCAAAAAAGTGTAAATAAATATATATATATATATATATATATATATATATATATATATATATATATATATATATATATATATATATATGTATATATATATATATATTTATATATATATATATATATATATATATATATATATATATATATATATATATATATATATATATATATATATATATATATATATATATATATATATAAAAAATAACACCCTAAAGATCTCAAAAATATTCTTTCTGTAGAGAACTCTACAGAAAGAATATTTTTGAGATCTTTAGGGTGTTATTTTATATATATATATATATATATATATATATATATATATATATATATATATATATATATATATATAAAAATAACACCCTAAAGATCTCAAAAATATTCTTTCTGTAGAGTTAAAAATTCATTGTGTATAAATTTGGTTGCTCAGGATGTTCTCCTTATTATTTAAGCGAAACTTCTCGCGACCTCATTACATAAATGATTGAACACTACAGGAGAGACGAAAACTCACACATATACTAATATCTCCATTCTAACATTAATTGTTTTGATAATCATTGTAATGACTGTTTTTTTGATATTGGATTCTGCTTTCAATAAAATTTAAGCTGAAAGATAAGGAAAGTTTGTGAAAGCTTAAAGTTAAGGAAAGTTCAGTTAGTCGGGTATTTGATACAATACAGTCGGGTAACTTTAGTTTTAAGTACCTTTTATATATATATATATATATATATATATATATATATATATATATATATATATATATATATATATATATATATATATATATATATATATATATATATATATATATATATATAATATGAAAAAGGAGATAAAAAAAGAAAGAAATAAGCAACAGGAGGCCTGTATCTCTCACAAACAATATAATTGGACTACATAATTCTAACAAAAAACAATAGCATATTAATTAGAAAAAATTTTACCTCATTTTATAAATAATAATCAAACGGCTTGTATTAAAAATAGAACAATGTATAACAACTTCAATAAAACTAGGCACGCAATTACATTAGCTAACAAAAAAAAACTTGATGCTTGTATACTTTCCGAAGATCAGCTTTCAACCAGGTAGACAGAAATTATTTTTCAAGAGCCTTGAACATTTTGATTTTGGAGAGGTTTTTGTTTTATTTATCAAAACAATTTTACAACAATATAAATGTAAAAATTAAAATCAATGGTTTTCTTTCAGAAAAAAAATATATATTAAGAGGGGTAAGGCTAGGTTGCCTTTTATCGGT